TAACTCTTGTAATTGTTCCTCGAGAGACCAAGTTTGGTCAGATTTCTCAAGTAAACTAGGACTAGTTTAAGTCTTAGTGGTGTGAGTCACTTGTAAGATTACTTGTGCATTGTTAGTCACAACAATTGTTGTGTGATTGTAATCAGTTGATTATAGTGAATTAAGTCCTTGTTGAGAAAGGCGAAATCACCTTGGCGGGTGGACTGGAGTAGTTTGAGTTCAAACGAACCAGGATAAAAATAACCCTATCTTTCCATTATTGTTGAGTCTTTAAGAAAAAGAAAAAGAGAAACTTATTCACCCCCCCCCCCCCCCCCCCCTTCTAAGTGTTTTCTCACCCTTCAACGTGGTGATAGATTCCAGAATTCAGAAGCCTCAACTTCTGATGATAAGAAATATCATTAAGGAAAGGAGAGGTATGAAAAAAGGAAGGTTCAATGTTACTCTTGTAAACAATTTGGCCATTTTGCCAGAGGTTGTAGGTCAAACAAGGAAAGGAAATCAGAAGAAGCATATATGGCTAAGAGAAACTCTGATGATGAACCTGTACTACTAATGGCTTCTGATTCTGATGGAAAATGCTCAGAAGATTGGTGGTATATGGACACTGGTTGTTCAAATCACTTAACTGGAAATAAACAATGGCTGACAGACTTTGACTCCAGAAGGAGAACAAAGATCAAATGTGCTGACGATAAGTATCTTAATGTATAAGGTATGGGAGATGTCAGAGTTAGAGTGAAGAATGGGAAATAAATTCTGATCAAAGACGTTTGGTATGTTCCTGGTATTAGAAGCAATCTGATGAGCGTAGGACAACTGATTGAGAAAGGTTTCTCAATTGTTATGAAAAACAATCTTCTGACGTTGTATGATTCCAATTAGAAGTTGATTATGAATTCTGAACAAGGAGGCAACAGAAAATTCAAGGTAAATGTATAAACATCTGAAGCAATGTGTCTTAGTGCAGAAGTCACTGAAGGTAACAGTAAACTGTGGCATAAGAGGTTGGGGCATTTGAACTATAGAAGCTTAGGGCATCTATGTTCTAAGAAGCTTGTACATGGTATTTCAAAGATTGTGAAGTCTGAGAAGTCATGTGAGATATGCTTGAAAGGCAAGCAACCTAGATGGCCATTTACATCAGAAGTAGCCCCCAGAGCGAAGCATGCTCTGGGACTAGTACATTCTGATGTGTGTGGACCATTTCCATTACCTTCACTTGGAGGAAACAATTATTTTGTGTCTTTTGTGGACGAGTTCACAAGAATGACATGGGTAACACTCATCAAGTTCAAGCATGAAGTGTTTACCGAGTTCCAGAAATTCAAAGTGAAGGCTGAGAAGCAGAGTGGTCAGAAGTTAAAAATTCTGAGAACAAATGGTGGAGGTGAGTATAACTCTACAATGTTTCAGAAGTTCTGTGAGGAAAGTGGAATAGAACATGAGGTTACTGCTCCATATACTCCTCAGCACAATGGTCTTGCTGAAATAAGAAACAGAACTTTGCTTGATATGGCCAGAAGCATGCTGAAAGAGAAAAAGCTACCTTACATGCTATGGGGAGAAGCTGTTGCCACATCAACATATATTCTAAACAAGTGTCCAACGAAGAAACTGAAGGAATCTGTTCTTTAGAGAAATGGACTGGAGATAAGCAGAGTGTCAGCCATCTGAAGGTGTTTGGCTATGTCTGTTACAAACACGTTCCAGAAGCTAGAAGACAAAAACTGGATGATAGAAACAGTAATGTTACTGGTGGGGTACCACAATACAGGTGCGTATAAGCTTTATTGTGTAGAAACTAATAAAGTTGAAGTTAGAAGAGACGTTATGGTGAAAGATTCTGAAGCATGGGATTGGAACAAACCTCAATCAGATTCTGGTGTATTACCAACACCAGAGTTATCCTCTAAAGATGTTTTAGGAAGTTCAGAAGATGAATCTGATCCTGAAGATTCTGAAGATGAGTCAGAAGAAGATTCTGAAAATGGATCTGATTCTGATCCAAATGCTGATGATGATCCAGAATCTAGTGGTGATAATAGTTCTGGAAGGGAAAACTCTGAAGGTAGTAATTCTGAAAGTAGTAGTTCTGGTGCAACTTCAGAACAAACTCAAAGACCACAAAGAATCAGACAAAAACTAAAAAGGTTTACAGATTTTGACATGTTGCAGGATAATGAAGTTGAATCTGAAGGAGAAGTCGTTCAGTGTGCCATGTTAGTAGATTCTGAACCAGTAGGCATTGAAGAAGCTCTCAAGAAGAAAGAATGGCTTAATGCCATGAAAGAAGAACTTGAGGCAATAGAAAGAAACAAAACTTGGAAATTGGCTAAACTTCCAGATAAGAAAAAAGTCATCAGCGTCAGATGGGTTTTTAAGTTGAAACTTAAGTCAGATGGTTCAATTGGCAAGCATAAAGCTAGACTAGTAGCTAAAGGTTTTCTTCAAAAACCTGGGCTAGATTACTTTGAGGTGTTTGCGCCTGTAGCTAGACATGAAACAATCAGACTGATAATTACTTTAGCTGCAAACAGAAATTGGCCTTTAATGCATCTGGATGTGAAGTCTGCATTTCTGAACGGTCCATTACAGGAAAAAATTTATGTGTCACAACCTCCTGAATTTGTGAAAAAGAATCAGGAAGGGATGATATACAAGTTAAATAAAGCTCTGTATGGACTGAAGCAAGCGCCTAGAGCTTGGAATCTGAAAATTAATTCGTTTTTCAAGAAGCAGAGATTTCAGAAATGTGAGATGGAATATAGAGTTTATGTACAACACTGATAACAATATGATTCTGGTGTGTCTCTATGTTGATGACATTTTGCTAACAGGTAGCTTCCCAGAAGATATAAAGAAGTTCAAAGAAGTTCTGATGAATGAGTTTGAGATGACAGATCTAGGAAAAATGACATATTTCCTAGGGATAAAGATTCTATACTCGAAGAAGGGTGTCATTCTGCATCAGTTAAAATATGAACAAGAACTTCTGAAGAGATTTAAGCTGTAGAATTGTAAAGTTGCTGTGACACCATCAGAAACCAATAAAAAATTGGATTCTGACTCTGATGGTGATTTTGTTGATTCTACAACCTTCAAACAATTGATTGGTTCTCTAAGGTATTTATGTAATACTAGACCTGACATTTGTTATGCATTTGGATTGGTTAGCAGATTCATGAGTAATCCAAAGTGGTCTCATTTCCAAGCTGCTATCAGAATTCTGAGATATATCAAGAGAACTCTGAGATATGGAGTGTTGTTTCCTTCTGAAAGAAAGACATAATCATAATTAGTAAGTTATTCTGATTCTGACTGGTGCGGAGACAGAGTGGACAAGAGAAGTACTTCTGGATATTTATCTAAATTTCTGGGAAGTCCCATTTCCTGGAGTTTCAAGAAACAACCTGTCGTGGCTCTGTCAACATGTGAAGCTGAGTATATCGCATGTGTTGTAGCTGTTTGTCAAATAGTTTGACTTCTGAATCTCTTGCATGATTTGAAGGTTGAAGTTGAGGAACCTCTGAAGCTGATGATTGATAATAAGTCTGCAATTGATCTTGCCAAGAATCCAGTGTTACATGGAAGAAGCAAGCACATTGAGACGAAGTATCACTTTCTCAGAAATCAAGTGCGTAAAGGAGTGTTAGAAATTCTGCACTGTAGCACTCAGAAACAGCTTGCAGATCTTTTGACAAAGACAGTTAAAACAGATCAATTTTTTCATTTGAGAGATGAAATTGGTGTTGTTAGTTTCTGATAGAATATCTAAATTAAGGGGTAGTATTGAAAATGTATTTTAGTTAATGTCTACAATTCTCATGCTTATTCTTTATTAGGATCTTTTGACATTTTCAATTTTAATATAAATATGCTATCTAAGCTATCAATATTATAACTTATTCATTCATCTATTTGATATAGAATAGTAGTCCTATTTGTTATCATTCATTGCTCATTCTTCTTCTCCCCTTTCATAACCTTACACCAACATGATTTAAGGAGAAAACTAACCTAACACTATAAATAGAATGAGTGACCATTATTATTACACACAACTAGTGAATTTACCGTTGCAAATAAATAAGATTTTTTACGGTATACAGACCGATAGAAATTCTACACAAAATCACCATCTTTCTTATATTTTATCAAATTCTAATTTTCTTTCTTCATCAATTATGATAGATTTCCAACATCTTCACTCATTCAAACCACTATTTCAAATTCAAACACCAATCTTCAACACTAAGACAGAAGAACTTCATCAATTATGATAGATTTCCAACATCTTCACTCATTCAAACCACTATTTCAAATTCAAACACCAATCTTCAACACTAAAACAGAAGAACAAAAGAGAAGAGGAGAAGAAAACCAGAATATGATCCACCACAGAAAGGAAGAGAAGAGGAGAAGAAAATGAGCCACTGCAAAACCGCACCATCCGCAGAGAGAAGAGAGGAAGAAGGTGCGTGAGAGAAGAAAGAAACCTTTTTGTGCTGAGAAAGGGATTGGTTATAAGAAACCTTTTTGTGCTGAGAAAGGGATTGATTTTAATATCGTCGACTTATTTTTTCTGATTTATTTTTAATTGCTGAAGACCATTTTTCTTGTAGTGAAGATTAATTCTTGATTAAGACTTACATCTTCTCCTGATCAAGGTGTCCAGGACATAAGTTGTAGAACTTGTGTCAATTTGGACTGACATTGGAGGTTTGGAGATATGCAATGGAGGATTCAAGAACAATTGAGAATTCTATGACTAAAGAGCTTTATACTTTTGAAAACCAACAAAATATACACTACAAGTATTGCTACACAGTACACACTAATCATAAACCTATTTAGTCTGAACTAAACCAAAACCAAATCAGAAAAGATACAAAATCTTAAGAGTAAGTACAATCATTGCATGTATCAACACATCATTACAAACATCAAAACACAAAACAAGTACTAATACTAGTTAATCAACATTTAACACCATTTTTTTAGCAAATTTGGTGAACATTTTGAGCCAAATAAACCAGATGCCAAGTAAGAGACATGAGGTTGAGGATGTTGAGAAACGAAGAATATGAATTCAACTTCTTCAACTTGTTATTCAGCTTCATTATCTTTGCTCTTACAACCTCGTGATCTGTTCTTTGTGCTGGAGATTCTGTTCCTTCTGTAACAAGATTGGCAGTTGTAGTTGCATATGTTCTTTTAGGATCAGGTGAACTTAGATGCTCTTCTGTTCTGTTACGTTCAACAGTTGTAATATCTTCTCTTCCTCTTCCTTCTTCTTTCTCCATTTTCATCCTTTCAAACATTAACTAATCATTCAAAACAATAAAACAATGTATTAGTCCTAAACAAAATGTTCAAGTGACTCATACATCTATCAAACATCTGGGTGATATTAAGTATCAGTGTCAATGTCGTATCTAGTGATATCATTTATATCAGATGTCTTATCATTATCAAATGTCTTATCATTGTCAAGTATGTATCAAATGTCTAGATGTACATCTGTATCAAATGTGTATCAATATATTTGTGTCAATATTGTATCTGGTGTCTGTATCTAAGAATTGAAGACGTAAAAGTGAATACATACCTTAGTGGCTCTAGGCTCCAAGTAAAGAGAATTAACAAAAACAGCCAAAAGAGAACCTAAAAGGTTCCAACTTTGCAAAACTCCACCACTCTTACCATGTCTCATCCCATGTCCAAAAACATGACCCAACAAAGCAACTCCTAAACAATAACCCATAGCCCTAAAATAAACCGGATAAATCTTACTCTGCACCACAGCAAATTGTTGTCTAGGCATAACCCTAGACAAAACATAACTTGAAACAAAAGTTATCCAAACACACATCCCATAACCACTCGCAAATCCCAACAAATTAGCAACCCTCATCACAGATTCAACATTTTCTAAAGGCACAAACTTCTTCACTCCATCTTTCGCCTCTGTCACGTTCCTAACAACATGTTCCTTAACCGTTTGTCCCGTTTCCTTCGCCTTTTCCAAGGAATCTCTTGTGTATTCATGAACATTGTTTGCTTTATCATAAACTCTCTCTTTCGCCTCGTTTGCTTTGTCGTAAACTCTCTCTTTCGCCTTGTCGAAAGCCTCCACAACATCGTTGTCGAGTTCTTTCTTTTTGTCTATTGTCTCGGAAGCTTTGTCTTTTGCTTTCTCCATTGCGTTTGAGATTTTGTTTTTGCATTTCCCATAGGCATCGCATATAAGCTCTTTTGCATCTCTGGCGTTAGGAGTGTGGAGATTATAATGTGAAGAGGATGATGAATCTTGAGTTTGAGAGATTCCTTGACCGATGTTTGGAAGAACAGAAGCGGTTTGTTTGATTCTGTCTTTGGTGTTTTCTATGAAACTTGAATCGATGTTTGTGAGATCTTGCTCGGGTGAGATTGAGATTTTGGTGTTTTGGTGACCATCTTGATCATATTCAACGACAACAACTCTATGTCCTTCTTTGATGATTGTGTTTGGTTGTTGTTGATGTTTTTGGTTTGGATTTGGATTTGGTGAGAAAATGCTTGCGGTTGTGAGTGAAGTTATGAATAAACTCAAAGCTAAAATGTTCATCATTTTGTTTATGTCTTTTTTTGTGTTCTCTGATGATGTTTTTTTGGTTTGAGATTGTTAAGGTTTGTTTTAAGGATTGGTGATGATGATCAGTGTTTTTTTGTGTTGGGCGATTTGTTCGGTTTTATGTTTCGGATTAGGCGGTGGTTAAGTTGTAAGTGCCACGTTGATGTGTGAAGAAGAATGAGAGATGACACGTGTGGTAAGGGGTTGAGAGTTGCACACGTGTTACTCTTCGTGTCATAATGAGAGGGGTTTGTTTGGGTTGAAGATGAGTCTAGGAGCTCAACGAATGGAAGCTTATTATTATTATTTTGAAGAATTATTTTTATTCTTTTTTGTTGAAGAAATATGACTTCATTTCTCATACCTTTTTCTTATATTACTACTAAATTTTATTATTCTACATTTGTTAAATAATAAAAATAAATTTTTTAAAATATGTAAATGATAGTGTGTGTGGTTTAAATGTAAGGGTGAAAATACGTTGAATTTAATTAGAATTTCTAATATTTAAAAGATTAAATTTGATCTTTAATACGTTGGTGTTAGCTCTTGTTGGAGCACCAATCAGAAAAGAAGACCATATTTTAAAAGATCTTGGTATACCTATAGTGACTAAAATCAACACGTATTTGAGATACCCTGTTGAAAACTTCATAAATCTGAGATTTAACTATATCCTAAATAGAGTCAGAAAGAAACTCGTGTTCATCATAAAATTATAATGCCTTCATATAAGTCTAGGCTCCCGATTGAAGTCATAAAATTAAACGCCTTCATATAATTCTAAGCCCCCGATTGAAGTTGGGATGGGGCAACTTCCAAGTACTTTAGAACGGCTATCTTAAATTTAGAAAGTTAGAAAAGAGAAATTGTAATCCTATTTTAGTTACTCATAAAAAGGGATCGTCAAAAAAATTACATATTCTTTTTTCAGAGCCTACGGAGAGAACAAACCAATCCAAATAGTTGTTGATTGTGATGTTAGCAGTATTTATATGTATTTCGGTATTCTTTATGGATGAATTCACGCCACTTCTACAACTACCCATCCGTATTTGTTTATATCGGATGGCTTCACCAATATCACTCCTCTGAGACAGATCGTCAACTTTAAAATGTTCGTTGAGTTTAGTCTAAGAAATTACATCTAATTTATTTCAATACTCTAAGTAGGTCTTGATTTCAGTATTAATGGATTCACTGTTACAGATTCTCTGGTAAACCTGGATGAAATCATCATTGTTCAGAACACTCAAATATTCTGAGATAAGAAGGCATCGTTAGTGTCAAACCTAGGCCCACGCGTCAAAACCCTTTAACGAACGTTGTACAAAAGATCGAAATTATGTGCTCCTTGCTTATGCAAGTTCGTACATTTTCTCCGCATCTATCCTCATAGTGCTTGCTATTCAGATTTGATGTGTGGGTCTTGTGATAGACCCTGAACACCCCCTCCCCCTGGTTCCTTGTTTTTGTTTTCTAGAACGAGGGTTTTCTCGTGTGGACTTACAGTCTGACACTTGTCCGAATAGAGTGGAATACTTTTGACATCAGTAGTATATATAATAGGCGCATTTAATACCTTTCTTGTAACTCACAACATTGATTGAAGGGTTTTGATGCGTGGTCCTAGGTTTGACACTAACAATGTTTTCTTATCTCAAGGTACCTGAGTGTTCTGAATAGTTCGATGCGAGATCATGATCGTTGGTAGTATAGTCACCTTTTCCTACACCTGTTGTTGCGGATCATACAATTGTTGGAAGAATATATTAAGGGTTCTTGGGAAAATATTGTTCTTTTTGTCATTTCTAAGACGTCAATAATTATTTCTCATATCAGCTTCGATGAATCAACCATAACATGTTTGGCTTCAAATATGGTAGTACTTATATGATGGGATTTTATATGAACAATATAAAACTTTTTGTTCTGGATTGGCCCCGTCCTGGCCCAAAGCGTAGATAAAGGCCCAATCCAAGCAAAATCCTCGAGGAATACGCATCTGCAGATCACCGCCGACGTGCCTGACCATAGACTGTAGCCATGCCCGCCATTGCCCGCGACATATGGTGTCCCCGACCAAGGGAACTCCAGCTCGAGTCCTGCGCGAGCACTCTCCCCGTAGGGCAGATTCTGTCCTCCTTGACCGTTATCGAATCATCTAAACTCCGGAAAGACCGCGTCTTCGTCCCTCCTTATTCTTCGCACAACATCACCAGGAAGGGGACCTCGTATGGGCCCCCACTACACACGTAGAACCTGGCAGTTTCTTTATTGGACCAGTTCTGGTCGGCCCAATGAGGGGACCTTGGCCCAACGCTGGGGGCTATAAATACCCTCTGCTCCAAGAGGGTCAGGTATTCATCTCTTACGCATCTATACACTTTTGCCTGCTCATTTCGTCACTCATTTTAGCATCGGAGTGTCTTGCAGGTACCCCCGCCCCCCATCTCACTCAAATTCTGCCCGAGCCAATCGTGACGGTCCAAGTCTGATTAGGTAAGACCAGTGGCACCGTTTGTGGGAAACTAGCTTCCCCGTCTTGCAAACTCTCGAAGACCAAAGCTCAAATCACCTCTAACTGTCATGGCTGACCAAGTTCGGGATGACCAGAACGTCCGCATCATCGACGTCAAGAACAACCTCGCGGATAAAAACGGAATTCCCGACAACACCGACATCCCCGACCATAACACGCTCCCCGGGGGCACCATCCCCGGGCCCTCAATCCACCGAGACGGAGCTACTGCCTCATCTTCTTCGGTCCCTCCGCCACTCGAAGAAGACAATACGGCTCCCCCAAACTATCTAGCTGCCCAATTTCAGGAAGTCCCTGTCCCCGCCGGAGCAGATGCCACAACCCGCGCATTATTCGCGGTGATCAATCAAACCAACTACCTCATCTTTGCCCAGGGGGACAGATTGAGGGCGCTAGAAGACGATAGAAGACCCGCGAGGAGACACAGGAGGCCTCATACTCCACCTCCTCGAGTAACAGAGGTACGTCTCCCATCTCCCTAGCGGAGACAATACAGAGACACCTCCCGAAGCCCGTCGCCCTGACCGTCGGGGAGACGACCCCCCTTGGAGAGGCAACCCGTCATTAAATCCGAAGGGGGCAACCATGGCCCTATACGGCAAGAAAGAAGACACTCTGGAGACAGGCACGGGAGAATGGACCAACGAGCACCCCTCTCAAGGGATACCCAGCACGACCAGGACCGTCGGGCACGACAATATCTCAGGTCCCCATCCCTATCCCCAGAGCGAAGTGACGAGGAAGACCCCCGCGGTCCCCTTTCACAAGCCATCATGGAGGCGCCCATTCCCCCGGGCATGGAGAAGCCTCCACATCTGAAAGAATACGACGGAGTCACGGACCCAGTCGACCACATATACGAGTTCGAGGCTATGCTGCATTACCATAATGTCGGGGGACTCATCAAATGCCGGTTATTTCCCACGACCCTCAGAAAGGCAGCAATGGATTGGTATAAAGGCATCGCCCCGGGATCAATCACCTCGTGGCGAAACCTGAAGAATTAATTCATAAGTCCGTTCACTGCGTCTCGGCGACACCCGAAGACCGAGGCAGCACTCGAGGCCATCATCTAGAGACATGATGAAACCTTGAGAGAATTTATCAATCGCTTCAATCGCGAAGCCATATAGGTCCCCTGCGCGGACCACATGAAAAGGTACTTGCTGGAGAGGGGGCTCCTCCCCGGCACAGATTTCAGAAAGGCGGTGGGCATCGAACCACCCCGAACATTCGACGCTCTCTTCGAGAAGGCCTGGGCGTATATGGATTACGAGGAAAGGGAGACGGCCAACAGAGCCCGGGACCCCAGAACTCGCGGATCCAGCAACAACCCACGCCAAGATGCCGCTCCTCCTCGACGAACCGGGGAGAAAAGGAAAGAGGACAGACCCCGAGAAGTCCGAGAGCAGAGAGGACCCTCGGGGCGTTTCACAGAATACACTCCGCTCAAGGTTTCCCGCGAGCGCATGTTGGTGGAGTGTGCCAGCACGGATTTCAAAGATGGCGGCGTCAAGCGCCCTCGACCTGCTCCTGCCAAGCCCGGAGTAGACAAGAGCAAATATTGTCAGTACCATATGAGCCATGGTCATCTGACTAAAGACTGCGTCCACCTCAAGGATGCCATCGAAACCCTCATCAAGGGAGGGAGGCTCGCCCAATACCGGCGAAACGACACACATCATCGCGACGCCCGAGAGACAAGAGAATCGGAGGAAGACGCCCGACCATCTGACGAATCGGTCCCCGTCCAGATCTCCTTCTCCATCACCAGACCGGAGGACTTCTACGTCCCCGAACACCTGCAGGAGACACTAACGACACACAACATGTGGGAATACTTTCCCTCCACCATGGTCATCAATGGTGGAGGATTCAACGACCTAACCATCAATTCGACCAAGAGAAAGCTGGATGAACTGGTCGACTCGACACCTCCTCAGACAATGACCTTTGAAAGGGTGAAAGGTAGGTCGGAGCCTATCACCTTCTACCTCGAAGAACTCCCCGGAGGAGCCCCAAAAGCAGTCATTCCTCTGCTGATAAGAGCAAGAATGGCCAACTTTGACGTGCATCGCATCCTCGTCGATGAAGGAAGTTCCTTCGACGTGATGTACAGTTAATTATTCCAGACTCTGCAGCTAGACGACTCGCACCTCTCGTCGTATGTAGAGTCGGACTTACAGGGCTTCAACGACTCGACCTCCAAACCTTGGGGATATGTCGAGCTCATGGTTACCTTCGGCGAGGGCACGACAACGAGGCAGGTCAAGGTGCACTTCCTCGTCATCGACTGCCCGTCCCTCTACAACTGCATCCTGGGGAGACCAACACTAGCAGAGCTGACCGCGGTGCCCTCCACCGTCCACTTGAAGATGAAGTTCTACACCAAGAGGTCACGGGTTGCTACCATCCCGGGGGACCTGGCCGCTGCTCGAAGGTGTTTCAACGCCGC